GTGTTCTGCTATTGTCTGCACCTACCTGTAATGGGGCGTGACCCTGCCACAGAGTGGAGAAGCCAATTGGAGTACATTGAGGGTGTTTATGTCTCTCCGGGCAATCACAGGGAGTTTCATGGCCAGTAATGCATGCTGGGGAAGTGCATAAATACTCAGGAATTGCCATGTGCTGCGGGCAGTCTGCCCCCCGGCCATAGCTTGGGGGTAGGGTGTACACAGTTGGAGAAGCTAACTATGTCTGAAGTCTGCAGGAAACCAGATGTGGACCCAGGTGGGTTCTGGAACTGTCTGGGATGGAGAACCAGAGAAGCTTCTTCTCTGCTTGAGGTGCCAGGAAGGCCTGGATGGCATGGACCTCAGGAACAAGTCTGGTATTTCTTCCAGGGAAGATCTCAATAATGTCTCTTGTCCATTGGTGGCTCTATGACACAGTGTCCTCCTCTGCTCAGCTAATGTTTTCTTGCACTGTGGAAGCTTGAAGGGATTGGTGAGTCTGGAGTATATTTTGTCCATGGATGTCTGTAGCCCTACACCCTCTCTCTACAATAAAGTATTGAAAAGATACTTAAAGTGACTGGTGCCCAAAGTACTGTTCACATCCCACAATCCGGCTAAGGATCTATCCCTGAGAGTTAAACATCAGCCCTCCCTGCCTTTGGGGCTCACCACATGTCAAAGGAAACATGGACAGCACAGGAAGTGATATGGCACTGGAAGTGACATCCCACATCGGAACTGACATTGGAAGACCAATCATCGCTGATTGAGCTCCAGCGGTTCCTGCTCCCCAGTACTTGAAGTCTTGTTCCTCTGCAGTACCTGACCCGGCTTGTCTTGACTCCTCTGCTGCATGCTACTTGCCCTTGTGACCTCGGCCTGCTCTCCATACTTGTCTTTGACTCCTGCTTGTATCTGCTCTGATCCTTGGCTTGTTTCCTGACCTTGCTCCTGGCTCCCGAATTGGTCCCATACTGTCTGGTTGGCTTGACCCTGGCTTGTGACTCCGACCCTGCCTCCGCCTTCTGTTCCTGCTCTGCACCTGGTCACCTTCAGCCCAGGCACCGGTGCTACTCAGTGCCCATACATTCCCTATGTCCAAATGCAGGGGTGTTGGACAAGAGACTCAATGGGCGCCATCTTCTCGATTTGGTCTCCATCATGGTACGTGACTACCCGTGACACCTTTTGAGGTCTGTCTGACTTGGACTTTTGCCCTGGTAGGACTGTATTTGTACTCGGTTTGCCCTCGCTCGTCCTGATTATCAGTCTGGCATCTCTGCTGTTGTCCGACATTGCTCCATTTACGTGTCTGGCACCTGGACTCTGTTTGCCTGCAGCAGACCTGGACATTAGCTTGCTGACTCTGCTAGAACTTTCACCGCTCTACTTTCTGGGCAACAAATACAAACTTTCTTCCATTTGTAGATATCTGCTGGTCGCTCACATTGTCAGTGCGTGCGGTAAAGTGACAGCTACGCCATGACCTACTGGCATGTATGCTGGATAAAAAGGGGGCACAGCTTTACAGATAGCGGTTACTTTCAGAAGCCGAGGCCGTTTTTTCCCCTTAAAACATACACTTGACAAGTCCGCTCTTCGGTTGCTAGGGCAACAGCAATGAAAACCAAAAAGAAAAAGTCACAAAGGAAATAGACTCGATTTGTATCTGGAATTTTTAAAAAGGTCACAAGGCATTTTTTGCTACGCATACATGTTGGGTCGTGCCCACCCCCTGGGTGAGTTTTGCACTGCATAAATGTTGGCCTGGCCGGCTTTCGCAGGACCGTGGGGCCAGGCGCTGGGGAAGCTGTATCTCCGAGCTGGCAACCCGCTTGAAATCAGATCCTCGAGAGGGGAAAATAAAAAAAAAGGGCTTTGGAAGAACTCATGAGCCTCGCACGCTCGCCGGTTTATTTTGTGTGCGCTGTGACAAGTGAACTGTCAATGACTGCTAATCAGGGTAATTACCTGTTAGAATTTCACCCAAGTGCTTTATTGGCCGGGAAGCTCATAACTGGAAGTGACCAGAAAGCTACAATTCCCAAAACTGCCGCCATCGGCACCGCGGGATTAACACCTTTCAATAAAGCTTATTAAGGTTTGTATAACCGGAGTGCCGGTGTTACAACAGAATCCTGGACTTCGTTAGATATCTGGGCCACGTCCGAGCAAGTGCAGATGGGGTGATCGGGTCCAGATAACATCACAGGCCATTTGCCTCTATTGGGCATGTGCGGGGGAAGCGGGTCCAGAGGATTTACAGGCGAGGCGCCTGTATTTTGTTTATATTTTTATTATGTGATAAGTGATGTGGTTGCAGGCACCTTGCCTGCGAGTTGTGTTTACGGCTGTAGCTTTGCCGCACAGGCGCTCGTGTGTTACTTTTTGCCTCAGCAATCCGATCCACGGGTCTGAGCTTGCTTGTTCAGCCCCTGCCCCCTCCGCGCCCACCCAAGATCAGCGGCTCTGAGCTTGCTTGTTCAGCCCACGCCCCCTCCGCGCACACCCGAGATCAGCGGCTCTTCTGAGCTTTGGCCTTCAGGCGACACACCTTCCACGCCCCCCCGGAAGTGAGGCTCAGGTCCAGATTTCTAACGGGTTCAGTATTCTACCAGAACACTGGATAGAACACGGCGGGCTCGATTCGAGTTGCAATCTGGTTGATTACCTGGTGGGGAGGTGGAAAATTGAGAATATTAAAAGTTAGGAGATTTTGGCAAAAGTTTACCATTTTGGGAGTGAATGGGATAGGCGAAATGAAGTAATCAAGTCAAAAGTTTTTCTAAAATGCTGATGAAATCACTTACAATGGACTCTGCTCCTTGATGTTTAAAAGCTTCACTTTCCTGCTGATCCCCTGACCTCCTGATATCCTGTTTTAGGGTGGCTCCTTTCCCTTTGCCGGGTCCTATGGAGCCCCCCTTGTGTGTGCTAGTAAGCTGTGTGCAGGGCCGTCCCTATAATGAGTCAACCTGAGCCTGAGCAAGCTCAGGCAGCATCTCATTGGATGCCCCAGGCAGCATCTCATTGGGTCACGTGGGGGGCGGAGACAAATGTGCAGCCTGTGATTCTCTTGCCGGTGCTGACATCACTCAGTGGGGAAGCTAGACATTCTGTCACCTGGGGCAAAGGCACAGAGTTACCTCCCCCCGGGGAGAAGTTCTCTATCCACACAGCCAGTGGCACCCCTCCTAAAGTGGCACCCGGGGCACATAC